CAGATGAGGAATCTAAAGGCCTAAGGAGGCAAAATGATTTGCCTAAGAACACATAGATAAGTAAGCATTAGAGGTTAAGATTTGAACCCACCTCCTCTGATCTCAGAGGCAGTGGTCTTTGTACGAGTCATATTAATCAGGGAGAATAAAGTAGTTCTAAAAGAGGACAGACAACACCATGGGTGTTTGGTAAAGATGTTTTGGAAAGGGGAATCCCCTACGTGAAATTAAAAATTTTTTCATTGACTTTTGCCATTAAAAACAACAACAACAACAACAAAACCCACAAACAAACAACTGATCCCTTTATTTGAAGGCAGAAAATGGTTTTTTCCAATATTTAAATACAAATGAAATGTTTTTTTTCCTCCTTTTTGATGTTTTTCCCTTAAGTCAGACCACTTCTAAATAGAGAAATGTTAACCAAAAAAGAGTAATATTTGGAAAGTATTTTCTTTTGCCTTCTTTATATAATTTTAGTATAAAGGTTTCCCTGCTAACTGAATTCTCCACCTGATATAAATACCACTTCTGTATCATGTGTTTTTCCTATGTCTGGGTTGGATGGAGGAGAGGTTAGAAAACGTCTGGTTTTGGTTTATTTTCGTGTGAATATTAATAAATGTGGAGAGCAAAGCAGCTTTCCATTAGAGGCTCTGTTGTGAATGGGAGGTTAGAAGCAAAGAAAAATCATATCACCCTCATTTGTTTTCTTTGGCAATTGTAAACGTGAAACTAGCAGACTCAGCAATTGAGATAGGTGTGACTTGTTGACGGTTTTCACCCAAAGCTTTAATATTGCCATCCATAAGAAGGGGAAGCCACCACTGCTACCACCCCGTTTCTAAAGCAATGCTGCAGTCCTAATGAAACTCTGTCATTACTGGTGTGTGTGTGTGCGCGTGTGTGCGTGTGTGTGTGTTCTTAGTATACCTTTCAAGCTCTTTGAAATGACAACCCTGGCATTCTGGAGGGATTTATTTAATCCTCCCATATGTGCAGCTTCCTGAGGCAAAATAGCTGACTGATCCTTAGAAATGTTACTGTTGAGATAAAACTGATGTCATACAGTATGGGGAGACCTTGGGAAGAGATCATGAATAGAAGTCTTCATATGTTAACCAGGTTACTCACTATTCTTTTCTTCCCACGTTGGCAGTTTGAAAAAAACAACAGGTTTATTGGCACTCTGAACCCATGGGGTTGAAACTATTTTCGTGTGCAGTAAGTCATAACTATGGTTTACCTGAGTGGTAAACTGAAATGGGAACATAGGTTGGCGGCACTTCTGGTCTTTTAGCCAAAAAGATAAGCATTTCTTAGCTGTCAGCAGTACATGTTCAGGATCTATTGTATGCAGAGCAGAGTACTGGGCACAGTGGGTGGCTTCTCTTTATTTGAAGATTTTAAAAGTGTAATTGTTCCTACAGTAACTGATAATACATTTTGGGTCCTGAGTATGTGAGAGGTGATGATTCTGATTTTGCAGCATTTTAAAGGAATCTTTATGAAAAAATAAGCTGCAATTGAAGGGGAGAGACTTTTGAAACATTTCCTATATTTTTTTTTATCTGTTTTGCATTTCTTTTTGAATAACAAGACCTTAGCTCCTGTAAAATGTTATTAGCATAGCCTTGACAAACAAATCAGAGAATGGCCTTCAAAGGATCATGAAGCACTGTTTAAGAGGTTAACTCATTAGAGATGACCTTTCCTCACACAATTGTGAACTTAAAGAATTAGTAACTTTGCACCAAAGAAGGAAACACTTCTCCCTCCTCCCCCATGACAAAATTTGGGTGGCCTTATCTCCATCTTATGCGTTTTGTCCTGGTACTTATGTGGAGTGTCTAATTGACTTTGCTGTACTGTCTAACAATGATTGCATACGCCAGGCTCCAAATAGACTATTTTGATGTACTAACAATCTTGGGGACTGAGTCATCCTGTAAATTAAACCACTGGTTTTGGAACACAATGATGGCAAAACTTACCTATCTTAATAGATGTTAGTTGGGCACCAGAATGAGAACCCAGTAGTTACTGGGATGTTCCTAAGCAAGTTTTAGGCACTTCAGTCCTGGTTTTATGATCTACTATTCCTCTCAGCTAAAGATAATGCAACAAAACTTTACAGATGTTACAGTGCAAAGATATCTGGGACTTGTAGTAGATAAAAGTGAAAAAAAGGCAAAAAGAATTGTAATTAATTCTCCATTAATTGTCCACAGCAAATCTGACTTTCAAATTTGTGGAAAGGAGCAGGCCTCATTTAAGTACTTTGATATCACTACTCGTTATTGGTAACAGCTAATCTGCTTAATTACTGCTTAGAGTGTCAACTCCCTTTATTTGTTTTGTATGCATAAAGAGTCCTTTGAAATCCAAATTTGCCACCTGGATTGCTCGAAGCAGAGATAAATCTTGCAGCAGATTCCCTGCTTGGGATAAACTCAGGAAGGATTTGAGCAGGGTCCTATAAGGGAAAATTTGTTCAGAAACTCTGTTCTGAAGTTAGATCCTCACAATACAGCTTTTGTTTTGTCTGAAAGGCAGCATGCTATAGGATAGAAAATTGTCCTGGTTAAAAAAAAAAAAAGAAAATTGTCCTGGTAATCAGGAAGGCCAGTTGAAGTCATACTAAGGAATTAAGCAAAGAGGGCCACTATAATTTTTAAAACATGGGAATGTCATCATGAAGGAAGTGTTGGAGGGCACTTAGTCTGCCAGATGTGGAAGATGGAAGAGAGAAATAGAAATTGAAGTCATGGAGACTTGCAGGCTGTATAGTAGGAATGAAATGAGTCTAAGAAATATTCTAAAAGGAGAGTTGGCAGGAAGAGTCAAAGATGATAGCAAAGCTCAGAACCTTGGGAACAGATAAAAAAGAAGATTGAGTGAGCATATAGAAAGATGAAGCCTAGTCATTACAATTTAAAGTGCAAAATTAATTTTACAATACTAACTCTGATTTGGTTAAAAACAAACAAACAAACAAAAACCTTGTTGCTATATCACCTCTGGGACTTTTTGTTGATTATTCTGCAAAGTGGCACAGGGCTCTAGGAGTTGAAGTTTAAATTTAGGCAAGATTCTTACCAAGTAGGAGCCAGGGCTTATTTGTGCAATAAATTAGAATCCTTCACAAAAGGAATAAAGGAGTGTTAAAAGCTATGTCAGATTTGTGACTTTGATGTGTGTTTATTTTGGGGTCAGGGAGCAGAGCTGAGGGTCACCATTGCTCTCTTGGTTTTGTTTTTTGCTTTTTTGAGGGTTTTTTGGAGTTTTTGGCTTATATTGGCAGATTATTAGTCAACTGAGAACTTCCTGTTAATCTCTGTCAGATTTAAATTCCCTGATTGCAAATAATTATTGCTAACTGCAGAGCATACAAACCTTAATTCTTCTTGCATAGCAGTAAATGGAAAAAAAAAAGAGTGATTTATTAAGATTTGTGTGGGAGGTTCCCCACCCCAAAGTAGCATGGCATTTTTGAATAACCTAACATCCCACTGACAAATTTCGGTGTGCCACTTAATTCTAACATCACATCTCCTACATCTTACATAAAGAAATACTTATATTTTAAGTTCCAGTCTCCTTAGAGTGAATATCCACTTGTTATAAATTAACATTAATGAAATCTGAATGTGACATCTAACATTTTCAAGGATATAGGTTTTTTTTTTCCCATATCCCTCTTAAATTAGAATTATCCAGAGAGAATCTTGGCCTGGGGATGAAGCTGCCTTAGTTCCTCTGATCTCTCCTACCTCACTGTCTTCTTATCACAGCAGTTAAGGAAGAGGAGTGAGGCCAGTGTACTGGAGCTGACATGTTCATATTCTGTACCTTCATTGCTGTCTGCCCTTTCAGATTGTAGCTGCCCTTCACTTTTTTTCCTTCTGATGGGGGAGAAATGAAATTTAAAGTGTGATTGATTGAATAAATGTATAGTTTAAGAAGATATTAAAATTACTTGGAAAAACATAAAATATTAGGAACATGCTAAATCCCGTTAGTTTGGTTCTATTAATTGGGAATTTTTTATTGTATAGCAAGGATATGGGCAAAAATTTAGCATTACTAAACAAATCTTTTGTTAGTGTCATACTCATAGGATTCAGGACTTGAACAGATCTGAGAAATCACTTAATCCAACCTCTTTACTTTACAAAATGAAGAAACTGAGTTCATCTAGGCTCAATTCTTAGATTCTCAGAATAAAATTTACACTTGACAGCCAGTGATATCCCTTTCCCACCAATTACCCTGGGTTTGATTTCCTTTTTTTTGTTTATTTTGTTCTGGTTTGCCCAGATTAGTATTTGCTATCAACAGTTATGGAGGGGGGCAACTTTGACTTTGTTTCAGGGTGCCAAATTTAGAGGGTACTTAGAGCACTTGTAATCTTTCAGTAGTATAAAAACTATTGAGCTTAGCAATTAATTAAAATAGGAACCTGCCAGATGGCAGGCTGTGGTTAGCCACTCTGCTGTCTTCCCTATACCTCAGCTTTGCATTCTACCCCAATGGCTATCTTTACAGTAGCCTTCTAAGTGTTTGAGAATCTGTCTTCTCTACCCTACTTAAGCCAGTGTCTCTTCCTTATTCCCCTTAAATAAATGTCTTTTCTGTTGCTTGTCTTGTGTGTGAAAACTCCAGATAAGGGCTCTGACTATCAAAGACAATATAGATTAATAGTGTTAAGATTACAGAGAAAATGCTTAACCTACACAAGACAATAAACTTTCCATTTTAGAAGCCCACATTTATAGATACAGATGGTTGATAGGAGAACAATAAAACATTTCTGTAACTATTTTACTATTAGGTCATACTTTGTTATCTGTGATTTAGACTTTTACTCAGTTTAGTCTGCCTTCTAATCAGGCTGAACTAGAAAGAATTTTCCATATTATTATTTTACTACATATGTTGAAATATTGGTAAATACCATTCATCTATTTTATTACCTTCTTTTTTCCTCTCTTTTACAGCTTGGGTGAGTTCTTTGTCCATGGGGATGATCTTTTTCTGCTGTCCTATAGTGAGTGTATTCACAGATATATTTGGATGTCGCCAAACAGCTGTTGCTGGGGCTGCTGTAGGGCTCATTGGACTTATGTTTAGTTCTTTTGTAAGGTAAGGATTCTGTTTCCTCATATTTGATTGTCAAGAACTGTTTGATATCCTAAAGTAGCTAATTTCTTCCTTGGTACCCTCAGATCAGAGTTCTTTTGGGGATTTGAATTTTTTTCCTTGCAATGAGTATATCCATAAATGTTCACAGATGGCAGTAAAAGCCTATTTTTACTTTGCTTTTCTGATTCAAATCACAGTTAGAATTGGGTGAAGCAAATAATGAAAGGTGGGTGGATACCAAGCTTTTTTTCTAAAAGTAGCAATTTAAGGCAGTGGTTCTTTGAATTCTTACTATCATAAACTGGAGAGTGTACTTGGGAAACTGCTGCTATAATTGGGCTATTAGTCATTTTAGGGAGTGACAAAGCAAGTATCATTATTAAGAGTCTGCTCATCAGGCTCATAAATTATTTATTATTTTCATCAATGGTATAGAAAGCATGTTGAAGTTTATTAGTTACTCCAACCCCAGGTGGAATGACATTGTACCTTGGATGAAGGGGTTGGAATTTGGAATGGTCAATGGGTACATTGAAGAAATGAGCAGAAACAACCTGGAATTAAGCTCAATATGAATAAACACAAACTATTCCTGCTAAGAAGTAAAAAAAAAAAAAATTAGTACAGAAAAAAATGTCCAGGCAGAATCAGTCAGCAGTGTCTTTTTTTTTTTTAAAGGAGCACTATGTTGAAACAAATCCAAGAAACACAAGGCAGTCTTCCCATTTCTTTGTAGTGATGCTTTTTTCCCCATAAAGGTTATTTTTTTTTAATTGAAGGTTTCATCTAATAATAATGATACTGCCTCAGAGAGGCACGACAATGGTTCTGAGTTCTCAAAGGCAGTATCAGCAGAGCATAAGCTCTGGCGGGACTTGTACATTTGGAAAGGCTTTGAGTGATGGACTGTTGCATTAGTCATTCAGGATCCAGTAGAGAAAAGTTTTTTATTGGCTTATTACCAGGTTAGCTACATGATGATGAACTTTTTCATCCACAGCTATACATGAAGATTGTCTACTAAGGTATGTAACAAGAGTGTACTCTATATTATTAGATGGAGAATCCACACCAATGAAATGATGGATCCTTGAAGTATGAAAATAATGGAGGAAAAAGTATAAATTTCCATGTATGAAACAATGCTGGGTAACTGGTACATTTTAAATGAGCCAGCAAAGTTAATAATACTATGAAATTTGATTTAAGGGAAATTACTAGTAACTGAATCTACAATCAGAGGAGACAAAGCCAATTTATTTAGATTGGATCCCTTTTACTAGAATATTGAGTCCAGTTCTGAGCTACACAACTGAAGAATGTAGAAAACTTGGGACCGCATGATAGCTGCTGGAGGGATAGGGAGGAGGCGCAGAGTGGCCTGGCCTGGGCTGCCCCCCTTCAGAAGACCACAGCAGGCACCAATGTCTGGCAAGGTCTTCATCCAGTGAGACTACAGCAGTGACACCCTTTGCCATTCTAGACCAAGTACCCCACTGTGTTGGAGAACCAGATTGATTGACTGGCAGCGGTTTGAAGAAACAGTTCATGCTCTAAATAACCTTTTTGCAGAAGCAGAAAAGCTTGGGAGCCAATCTTACCTTGAAGGCTGTATAGCTTGTTAGACATCATATACTGTCTTTTTGTGCATGGAAACATATTATGAGAAGGTTCTGAAGAAAATCACCAAATATATTCAGGAACAGAATGAAAAGATTTACTCTCAGCAGGGCATCCTTCTGACAGACCCATTTGAGAGAGGACTTTGTGTTATTGGGATGACCATTTATGAAGATGGAGGCATGAGCAGTGGAAGATAAACCATGGAGTCTAAGAGTCCATCTCAGACTCTCTTCTGTTCACTGGCCAACTGCAGAGTGTCCCCATCTGCTCTTCCAGCTTCATTCCTTTGTATCTGCTGGAAGAGCCATGGTGCCATTCTACTCCAAGGACTAACTTTCTAAAATTCTGCTCTTGGGTGCCATCTACTCATTCAGTATCCACTTTGTGTCTTTAAACTGTGTAGAACTTTGTAATCTTTGTAGTTATTTCTGAGAAAATATAACGAAGCATTTCATTTTTTAAATTCAAAACAATTTAATAAAATGAGCTGTGGTAAATCAGCCCAATCCAAAATCCATTTCTTGTCTGGCACCAGGACTATTAGTTCTGATCAATATTTATGCTGTCATCTTTTGATTTCAGCAAGTCATATCCAGATTTGGTTTAATTTCCCTTGAATTGAAGAAAGCCTTTTTTTCCAGGCATGCTTTTTTGATGAGGGGTAAGCTATGACTGTGGCCTGCTGACATATCTCCCAGATCTCAAGGAATTCACAGGATTGCCAGATCTGTTTCTACTGTTAGTTTCTCATACTGAAGCAAATTGGAATGATAATGTATAATGATATTTGTTTTTAATGTAGCATTTCATCCTAAGTCAACTAGTATTTCATGTGATTTCCAGTTACCTTGATTCTCCTTGGAGGATCTTATATCATTACTGCATTGCCATGAATGTTGGGAGGATGTAGTATGTGTTGCTTGTTTTATTAAAAGTATATAAGCATAATAAAATGGATGCTAAGCCATCAGACCTATAGACATCCTTGCTCTGCCCCTTAATGTGTAATAAGCAAGCGTAATGAACATTTTCCTTATGGCTTTATTATAAATATAACTTATGGGGAAGATAATTTGGTAGGAATAATACTGTATGTGCTCATTTTTAACTATTTCCACTGGTAAATCTTATGAATCATAAACCTTTCTTGAATTCCGTATTTAGGATGCACATAGATCTTGTAATTAGTCCAGGTAAAATAAAATGAATGTTTCCTGAGTAAAACTTCCAAAAATCTTAAGTTAATATTTATTTTTCTTTTACCTACATTCTTCATGAGAGTGTTTTCCAAGACCTTGAAATTAAGTTAATCATTATGGTTTGAGAGCATTGTTCTTTGGAAAGAGCTACGAGATTTACTAGAAAAGAATGAAAGAATTAAAGCTCTACTTCCAGTGATATTGTAGGTGCTAATACTGGATCTAATCTTCCAGATTTAATTTCTCTTATGTATTTGTTAGTCATTCACCTAAATTCCAGAGGCTGGTTTAATATTTTAATTATATAAATCTTTTTTGCTTTTCTATAGCCTGTAACAGTATGTCTGTCTGCCTTTCACACCCATTGTAATAACTTTGCCCAAATATCAATGCCTTAGTAAAAATTTTCTTAAGTAATAGTAAAAAAAAAAGAAAACTTGGAAAGATTTCAGAGGAGAGCCACAAAAATTATTAAAGGTTGGAAAAGACCTATGAGGAAGATCCAGAGCTGAGACAAGGCATATGTATGCCGTTGGCCAGGTTTTAAAATTAAAACCTCTGTGTATTATTTTTCCCTAGAGGCTTTGAGCTGTCCAGGTGATTTGACTTAGTAGAAAATCCCTGTGTATCATGGAGAGTAGAATTCTTTTTGGAATTTGAAATATGTACATTTACAAAAAGTAATATTAAAAAGTGTTGCACCCTGCTGTGTGTTGTACCCTTGGTGACTGCCTGTCTGCTTGCGTTGCATTTCCCTACCTAGTTCTGATTCTGGGAAGGGATGAATGAATTTAAATCATTGGGAGAAAACTGAGGGGATATGTAAAGGTTAATAATGTGAGTAGTAGATTATTTTATAATGTATGTAGGCAAATACCTGTAATGTTTTTATGGCATTAAATCAAAAGATATGTCTGAGAAATAGAATAATACCAAGTATCTTGGATTTAGACAGCATCTTTCTTTCAAATTCATCAGTTCTAACAAGATTCCTAAGATTCAATTAAGCATTCATTTATTAAGCACTTATGATGTGCCAGGCACTGTGCTGGGTGCCCCAAAATAAAAAAAATGAAGTAATTTCTACTCTCAAGGAATGTTCTAAACATCTAAACAGATGTTTCTTTGTACCAAAGAAGGTCGTATTTCTTCTATTTTTAAAGTGTATTGTTCACATTCAAGATGAGGAGGATGTCACTAGGTAACAATTTATCATCTTATAGCATTTATTAAGTGTTTACTGCACTGTATGTGCCAGGTACTATTCTGGGTCCTGGGGATGTAAAAACAAAACAAAATGAAAAAATGAAATGATCCGTGCTCTTGAGGAGCTTACATTCTGTTAGAGGAGACAACATGTAAGTATGTAATTATATATGGAATAAATTCAAAATAAATACAAAGTAGTTAATGAAGGAGGGCACTAGCAGTTGAGGAAGATCAAGAAAGGCTTAGTATAGAAAGTGATTCTTGAATGAGATTCTGTAAGGTGAATTAAGAAGAGAGTACATGCCTGGCATTTCTACAGAAATAGGAAAATTTGGAAGGATGGATTTTTTAGGGAGAAATATAATGAGTTCTGTTTTGGACGTGCTGAGTTTAAGATGTTTCTGAGACATCCAGTTTGAAATGACTAATGGGCAATTGATGATGTGGGACTGAAGCTCAGGATGAAGGCTGGGGCTGGATATATAGATCTGTGAGTCATCTGCATAAAGATTATAATTAAACACATGGGAGCTAATTAGGTCAACAAGAGAACACTAGGACAAAATGTTTGGGAATAACCACAATTATGAAGAGTATTATCACGTTGTTGAGCTATCAAAGGAGATTGGCTGGTCAGATGAGGAGGAACACCAGAAGACAGTAATGTCACAAAATCCTAAAGAAAGTATCCAGGAGGAAAGGATGGTCAAAAGTGTCAAGTGCAGCAGAATGGTAAAGAAGGATTTAGAGTGAGAAAAAATTAGCCTACCAGATTTGTTAATTAAGATATTCTTCTTTACTTTGGAGAGAGTAGTTTCAGCTGAGTAATGTCAGAAGTTAGATTGTAAAGTGTTGGAGTGATACAAGTGGAAGCAAAGAGGGTAGACACCTTTCTCTAAAAGTTTGACTGACAAAGGGAGGAAAGATATAGGATGATAGCGTGAGAGATTGGTAAGGTCTAGTGAAAGTATTTTAAGAATAGAGAGGACTTGGGCATGTTTGAAGGCAGTAGAAAAGGAACCAGTAGAAAGGAAGAGATTGAAGATTTTAGAAAGGGGATGATACTTGAGGGAGCAGTCTGTTAAATGAAGACAAACTGGGATAGGATGAAGGGCACATATAGAAGGGGTGGCTTTGGCAAGGAGAAAGGCTACCATGTTGTTAGAGACTAGAGGAAAGGAAGAGAGAATGGAGGATGATGTCAGGGGGCTTTGAAATGAAGAGAAAGGGAAAAGAGAAAGCTCATGGCAAATGGCCTCAGTTGCTAATAGGACAGGGGAAATGGGAGGTATGGGAGGCTTGATGAGGGAAAGGGAAGTTTGGAACAGTGTTTGTTGGGAATAAGATAGGGAATCAATTATTTTAGAGTAAAAGGACTATCATTTTACTTTTTGTAGGGCACATGTGACTCTGGGCAAGTCACTTAACCTATTTCTGCCTCAATTTTCTCAGCTGTAAAAATGGGGTTAATGATAATACCTATTCTACAAGGTTATTGCAAGGATCATATGATATAGTAATTGTAAAGAGCTTAGCAAAGTGCCTGACATATACTAAGTACTATATAAATATTAGCTATTTTTGTTATTGTTATTGCCTTTGTTAATACTACTTTTAGTACTACTGCCTTTGTTGCAGTGAAGACCTAGTTGAAGTTAGATATTCCAAATTTTCCTATTTTTCTAGAAAGCACCATTATGCCAGGCATATACTCTCTCCTTACATCCACCTCATAGAATACCTTTCTTCATTCAAGAATCACTTTCTGAACTAAGCTTTTCTTGATCTTCTTCAACTGTTAGTGCCCTCCCTCATGTGCAGTGTATGACTTTCTCTAACCCTGTGTACAGCAGCAAGGGAGTAGGAGTGAAAAAAGTGAATGGTGACAGTAATCCAGGTTTAGGGTTTTGTCCAATGATGAGTAACAATAGGGTGTAGGAACTAGAGATCCAAGAGTAGAGGATAGTGTGAAATTGTATCGTTAACTATAGGACTGAGGTTGGGAAGAGAGGAAAATGAAACTGGAGCAGGGCTCATAGGCTGAATTCTGTAGGGTAGAGGAATTGGAAGTCTCAGAAAGGCCTAAGAATGGAGGGATAAGATATGGGGAGAGATGGAGTTATAGGATATAGTTCTGAACAGTTCTCTGAGATAAATAATTGTACAAGTATATCACTTTTCTAACAGTTTTTTTAAACCTAACATTCATCAACAAGTAGAAACATTTTGATATACAAAGGACAAAAAAAGAGGATAGTATATGAAATTGAGAACTTGTTACATTATTTTTAAAGTGTTAAATTTAACAAGGAAGTAACAAAATTGCCCTGTTGGCATTACCTTGTGAATTTATTCTTAGTATTTGTCCAGCACTGTATTTTTATTACTACTATATGCTATTAGATGTGTTCATTGATCTTTTTCCCAGTAGCTTTCAGATTTCCATTTGCATTACTTTTTGATGACCTTAATTCAGATTAATTGCAATTCACCAGGCATTTGAATGCATATAGCATGTATAGCTATATTGAGGGCTTTAGAGGAGTAAGAATGAAAAACAGTTCAGCATCATTATCTGTGCAGTCAAGCAACTTATGGTATGGTTGGAAAATTGTTCCAAATCAACATAAATTAGTACTGCATGAAATTTCACATAAATTATATTGGTAAATGCTAAATAATAATAGCTAAGATTTATATAGAGCCTTCTATGTACCAGACATTATGCTAAGTGTTCTACAATTATTATCTCACTTGATATTCACAACAATCTTGTGAGGTGGGTCCTCTTATTATTCCCATTTTTACAGCTGAGTAAACTGAGGCAGACATGGGTTAAGTGACTGGGGTCACACAGCTAGTAAGTGTCTGAGGCTAGATTTGAGCTCAGACCTTCCTGAATTCAGGCTTGGTGCTATATATATTGAGCCACCTAGCTGCCTTACTGTGTATGCTGAATGTCCTTCCCCTTGCTGGGAATATTAGTTTATCCTTCTGGACTAACCCAGTCCACAAAAATTTCTTTCTCCTCTACACTTCTGTCGTTGTTAATAAATACCACATAATTGTGTTTAGTTTTATCGTCCATTTTTATAGTTCATTTAGCTATTGAATTTCAGTGGCAGCCATCCAGAATTCACCTACAGATCCTGATGTGTTTCTCCTCTCCCAGTCTCCTGCTCCCAGTCCCAACAAGAAAAATGGTTGTCACAAAGCCCATGCATTTTATTGAAAGGCTGTTGATGTAGAATTGTGTGTAAAAATGAGTCCTGATTCAGTAAGCTTCACAATACAAGAGGCAGTGGGGAAAGGCTCTGCTAGAGATGTATAGCTGAAGGCTTAGCAGTAACGGTACAGTAGAGAACAGCAAACAGTTGATGTTCATGATGATAATAACCCTTAGTGACCCAGAAAATATATATTATGTTCAGTGTGTTTCTGTTTAAGAAAGCTAAGAAAACATTTTAAAATGCTTTTTAAATTTCTAGACAAAATGGCTAAAATGACTTGAAAAAATCAACACCTAAGAATCTCAAGTCTTGGTTATTTAGAGAACTTTTCCTACATGGATAGTTTATTCACTGATGCTAAATTAGTGAGGTATTCTCATAATACTACTTTCTAGTTGTCTTAGTTTTATTTCACCAATGAGATTTTTAACTTCTTGAAGCCATGCAATGTGTTTTTTTAAAAAAAATTCTTTTATTCCCTGGAGGAATGGTTTGCTCAGTAAATATTTGTTGAATGAACAAGTAACATAGAGTAAAGGAATGGCCATTGTAGGATAAGCTATATTAACAAAAGCTTGTGGGAGCAAGTGTTTTGAAGCAGGTCTTCAAAGTACTTGGGAATGGACATGGAAGGAAGGGTTAGCCACATGACTCAATTTTATGTGATCCTTCTGGAGTTCCTTGTGATCATCCCAGTACTTTGCCATTACTGTTACTAGTCGTTCTGTTTTGCCAGGAACTGCACCTAACAATGCCTTGCATATAATAGGTATTCAGTAAATGCTTATCGAGTGGAATTGAATAAACTTCAGCCTCTAAGTTTCTGATATGTACTCTGCTTTTGTTACTTTTAAGCTGAACTTTTATTAAGTCTAAATAAATGATATTCACTGGTTTCCTTTTATTCTTGGCCTCTATTTCAAAGAATTCAAGAAATCTTACAGCATTTTACTTTTTATAAAATATATGCTTACTTGGGCCAGTCTGTCGATGTTATTCAGAATGCTTTATGATTCTTTAAAAGATTTTCATGGACTCTGGGCTAATAAACTAGAACTATTAATGGGCATTATATTTTATCTTAGTGCAGTTGTATTATTTGCACAACCAACAGCAACATAAAGTAGAGCAAACTTTGATCCATAGAGCTTAGGTCAGAAAAAATAAAGCCTTTTGCTAATGTTCTGGATGCATAGGGGGAACCTCTCTGTCTTACAGACTGTTTTAATCCAGTGGATGCTTGTTATATGTAGCACTAACATCATTGTTGAAATCTTTTCCCTCAAAATGTGTTCTAATAAAAGAAATCTACTTTGTTTTCATTGAATTTATTTGGAAAAACAAATCATCACTCTTGGCTCTGTTAAGTCTGATTTCACTTTCTCATTTTATTATATTTACAAATTGCCAAGAACCCCAGTGATTCCAAGTGAAATACTGTAGTCTTCCTGAGTTCATGGAATCACTGTTAGTTTTAAATTTTCACACCCATGGTAAGAGGCATTTATATCCATTTAGATCGAATTAAAGTGTTTTTAGTGTAAAATTCTGTATCTAAGAATAGTGGACTTTCCTTCATTTGCTCTCTTTCCTTCTCCTTTCCTGTCTCCCCCTTTTCTTTTCTCTATCCTTTTCTTTTTTCTTCCTCCCCCCGCAATAGTACTTGTAGATAATATACACTGATTTTAGCATCAATAGTTTTGAAGAAACAATATAATGGAAATCTATATTTACTTTTAAAATGGGCATATCTCAGTCATTACAATAATCAATAGTAAAAATTATTTTCCTTTTCTTTCATTTCCATACAGCTCCATCGAGCCTCTGTATCTCACATATGGAATTATATTTGCCTGTGGCTGCTCCTTTGCATACCAGCCATCGTTGGTCATTTTGGGACATTATTTCAAGAAACGCCTGGGACTAGTGAATGGCATCGTCACTGCTGGCAGCAGCGTCTTCACAATATTACTCCCTTTACTTTTAAGGGTACTGATTGATAAATTGGGACTGTTTGATACACTCAGAGTCCTATGTATCTTCATGTTTGTCCTGTTTCTGGCTGGCTTTACCTACAAACCCTATCATCCTGGTGCCAAATATAAAGACAATGGGAAGAAAGGAGAGAAAAAAATCTTTCTCTTTTCTAGGAGGAAGTTTAGTCTTTCCAGAAAAGTTTTTAATTTCTCCATCTTCAAGGTCACAGGTTATTCAGTCTGGGCTTTTGGAATCCCACTTGCACTTTTCGGATATTTTGTGCCTTACGTTCACTTGGTAAGTGTGGTTCTTTGGCTTACCTTGCAATGTTCTGTTAATACTTTACAGGTGAAAAGCTTGGTGGATGAAACAAATGATATGTCAAGTTGAAGCAACTGTTTTGGAACATTCTCCCAGTTATACTCCAGGGCCTTTTGTAATTAGAAATAATCTGAGCTCAAGGCCAAACCATCCATCAGAATCTCTTAAAAAAACAATCACAGTGGGCTTTGGCTCCTTAACAAAAACATAACATACCCCCCCAAGAAGGGAAAAGAAAACAGAAAACAAAAAATCCAATCAATTAAAAAGCTATTTTAAAAATTGAAATAATGATTGTGGGTGAAAAAAAAAGTGAAGTCATTTCTTTTAGGGAGGGCAGTAATCTTCATAGAGGACAAATAAGGTATAGTCCAGGGGTAGGGAACTTGTGGCCTCGAGGCCACACGTGGCCTCTCTGTCAGGAGGTAGGTAGCATGTATCATGAATCCTCAGACAACTACTTTGGAAGAATTAAGAAATGTGCCAGATGAAAAGAGAATTAGGATTTCATAGAAAGCTAGGATTTCAAACATTCAAACTACTTTAAGTGTATGTTCCTATTTCTTTTTTTTTGTTTGTTTTTTTGGCTAGGCAATGGGGTTAAATGACTTGCCCAGGGTCACACAGCTAGTAAGTGTTATGTGTCTGAGGCCAGATTTGAAATCAGGTCCTCCTGACTCCAGGGCTGGTGCTCTATCCACTACACCACCTACCTGCCCCATATATGTTCCTATTTCAAAGTGTATATTTCAGCCTCTTTATATTGAAATCAGAATAAGTGGTGTCTAAAATATTTGCTCCATGGCAAGCCTTATTCACAAGGTTTGTTATGTCCCTTTTTTGTTTTCCTGCAGCAGCTACTGAATTTTATTTACAGTTCAATAGAGTTTAGAGTTGAACTATGATAAACACAAATGATGGTTTAGATGTAGTCCTGATAGTGTCATAACTGTTTGGTGGTTTTTTTTTGTGTGTGTGTATGTATGTACGGGTGAACTTAGACCTCATTGAGCCAGGATCCAGTTTGAGTCATCAATGTGAATTTCCTTACTAAAGAAGTTTTTGTGCAAGATTGGTATCAGTAGTTCAAAAAATTCTTGTGCTCAGTGTTTTTAATTCAGTGTTAATATTTTTTGAAGTGGTTCTCTCTCCTAATTCTAGTCTTCGAAGTATATATTATAAAGTTGGACTTACTGTGAATACAACCATAGATATTAATTTTTATTGTAACTATAGCATTGAATTCAAACCTTGACTTCTTGGGTAAGTCATTTAAAATCTCCTGCTTTCAATATTCTTATGTGTAAAATGAGAAAGTTCAGATTTTTCAATTGTTTTTTCAGTTAAATTAGATCATCTCTAATTCCCTTTCAACTTTAAAATTCTATGATCCTAGGAACTAGGGAAACATATCATCAATCATTTTGGGCTGATGTCCTTAGCTATGAAAGGAGGTAGAAACCAGGAATAGAAGATCATATTCATAGATGTAGAACCAGAAAGGAGCTCAGAGGTCATCTAGTAAACCTCCTTCTTTTGCACTTCCGGGAATTGAAACTCAGAGGGGGAAATGACTTGCCCAACATTACGAAGGTAATAAGTGGCAGAGCCAGATTTAAATCTAGTTTCTGTGACCTTAGACCCAATCTCCTTTCTACCGAGGAGTGGAGAAGAAGGGTATGTGCCTTTTGGATTTTTTGCTGACCTGTGTTCCTGCTGCCAGACAAGTAAACCTGAGGAGAATGACTGGATATCGGGGTATGGGACAAGACTGCAATGTCATTGGCTTTGTTTAACAAGATGATGGTTTTGTTAATGACTCAGCCTTGGCCAGGGATTTTGTAACTAGATCAAATAAAAGAATATATGACCCTCTGGCACAGTTGTAATGAATTGCCATATCCTGAGCTCAACTATTCTCTTAAATTTAGTGTTGCTTCTAAGTGATCTAATACAATCTCTTTGAAGAACTGGTAGGAGAAAAGATGCCTCAGCATCTTAGCTCTTTTATGTCATAGCTATCTCTGCTTTAATTCCAGGGCAAAACCTGAGAACTTTCATTCTCTCCTTTTAGCTAGAGGATAGGATTACTTTTTTATGCTTCTTTGGAATATATATGAAGAAATCTGTATCCAAGCCTTGCAAACAGAAAGTATCAAAAGAAGTCTATGCCCAGTAACCACAACACTGTAAACAGTGTTAATATGGAGAAGCACTAAAACACCGGTCAAATATAATGATTAACTGGAGAATATCACGGATTCATCAGGGTACCCATATCATCATTCATTGAATAAACATTTATTTTTTTAGGCAGTTGGGGTTAAGTGACTTGCCCAGGGTCACACAGCTTGTAAATGTCAAGTGTTTAGACTGAGGCCGGATTTGAACTCAGGTCCTCCTGACTTCAGGGCCGGTGCTCTATCCATTGCGCCACCTAGCTGCCCCCAGTGAATAAACATTTATTAAGCACCACCTACATGCCAGACACTGTGCTAAGTGACAGGAGATACAAAGAAAGACAAAAGACAGTTGCTGTTCTCGAGGAGCTTACCATCTAATGGAGAGAGACAACTTGCAGGCAACTATATACAAACAAGATATATCCAGGATGAATCAGAGATAGACAGCAGAGGGAGGGCACTAGCTTTAAAGGAGATTGGGAAAGGCTTCCTGTAGATGATGGGATTTTAGCCGGAACTTGAAGGAATCTAGGGAAGCCAGGAAACAGAGTTGAGGAGGGAGAAAATCAAAGGCATGCCCAAAGTTAGTAGATAGAGGTGACCTGTGTGAGGAACAGCAAAGAGGCCAATGTCACTGGATTACAGAGATCATATGGGTTGAGGGTCATATAAGGAATAAGAAGACTGGAAAGGTAAGAGAAGGTGAGGTTATGAAGGGCTTTATATGCCAAAAGAGGATTTTATACTTTATCTTGGAGGTTAGAGGAGACACTGGAGTTTATAGAGAAGGTTGACATGATTAGACCTTTGCTTTAGGAAGAATACTTTGATAGAGGAGTGATTTGAGGCAGTGAAAACAACCAGCAAGCTATTGCAATATTGTCCAGGCTAAAGGACATATCCCTTTTTAAAGCAATGAGGTGTTGGCAGATTAATTGCTTTTCAGGAAATATACTTTGTTGGATGGATGGATGTTTCTTAGGAAGTATCTGTTGGGTTTAATTAAAATTTATTTTTAAAAAGTACCAGGAACCCATTATTTTGAAGGGATTATTCTACCTTAGAAGGATTTGGGCATGGTAGTAATGCCTTTACATTAGACAACCTTATCCAGTAATGTGAGATTATATTTTTTAAGCATGCTGATAAACTTGGCTATCTTGTTTGGAAAAAATTAGTGCTCCTGGAGAAATTGAAGCATATATTATCTCTCACTAAGATAAAGAGTATCTTCTGTTTACAAACTTTATATTCCCATAATCTGATGAACTCATGATAATGTAGTAAGTTAAATTGATGGTTCCTTAATAAAATTTTGCCTGAGAATATAAATTGAATTGGTTATTCACACACAGAACCATAATGCAATAATGCCATTAAATCTTGTAACAAACCAGACTTCATCTCTGCTTCTTTTTCCTGCTTTTCCTCCATGCATGTTGACTGAGGAAATTTATAGACATATTCCTCTCCTCCTGTCCCCTCTCCTCTCTTCTTCTTCCCTCTCCTCTCCCCTCTCCTCTCTTTTCCTTTCCTTTCCTCTCTACTCCATTTCTGTCTCTTTCCATCTAATCTCTCTCTCTCATTGCCTTGGGACTAAAAATCATTACAGGTGGGTAACATGAATAACTGCTTTTATATAATATTTATATGTATATATTTATATATATATAAATAACATAAATAACTGCTTTTAAAAAAAGAAATATGTTCTGAATGTAGGCTGTTGCACTTTTGGTGTATTATATTTTAAGGTCTAAATTAGGGAGATGAGTTTGTCCTGACTTAAGACTCCTTGCACAATGTTTTCCTTGCAATTTCCTTATACTTCTTTCCTTACCCAAGGACAAGTGGCTACAATAGAGCATAAGGCTTCATTTTAAAAAACCAGTAAACTACTGTAGAAATAAAGTTTTTTTCTAAGTTGGAGTCCTTTCTGATAATAGCTCCTTCTGTTCGTAACTGCTGCTGTATTCTAGCCCCAAGTATAGCTTAGCAGCTGTAGCCCAGGCCATGTTACTCCTGAAGTTTTTCTGAAAGGAACTGCTTCCCCTCACCCCAGCAAGTCTAGGCATGGAATTCCTGTACCCAGTGTATACTCCAGCCATGTAGTAATACTTGACCTATATATGACACAGAAATAGTACTCTATACTTTTACACTAGTTTGTTCCATGTCTGTGTGTTGAAGACAGGGACTAGATCTCTATCAGCATTCAATTTTGTTACTGGAATCATTTGTGGGCATTATTAGTCAATTCTGCAGCAGCTAATATCTCATGATGCAATCCACAAGCGGAAATTAGAGATTTTAAGAATCAATAGGTTGTATTAAAAAAAAAAAAAAGAGCTACTTAAGCTGCATGAGAGCTGAAGAAGCCAATGAGGTATGGTAGAAAGAGTTCTGGGTCTGGAATCAGAAGACCTGGTTTTAAATTCTACCTGGGCAAATTACTACCTATTATTTTTCCTTACAGGGGCTTCAGTTCCCTCATCTATAAAATTGGATTCAGGGAAAACTACATTTAATGTTTTCTCAATTCCATTCATTTGACTCTTGAAATCCCATGATCCTAGACAGTCTTAATTGATCTATAAAGGTTTTATCTGGCATCTGTTATAAATACTTTTATACTGCAGTGATAAATTTTTGTTGATAGTCTTTCAGAGATTTCTAGGTTTCCTAGAAATTGTGTTGTAATGGTTAGCTTCTAGGACTTTCACAGGGCCCTCTGCCACTGTCTCAAGTTTGAAAACAGCTGTTCTCCTCTATGGGCTCTTTTTAATTCTAGAG